CCATGTATAAACGTACAAAACGAAGCCAAAAAATCCGGTGTCAGCCTGTGCCAATTCTACCCTGCGACTTGTTTCTTGGCTTTACTTCGTTTTTTGTTTTCGCTGTTACGTCCTCTTATTCAAAAACGCTAATCAAGTAATATGTGAATCCTAAATAACATCGCTGTCACACCGAGAGCAAGCTTTTTTAGTGTATTGATTAAACGATGCTTTTCCAAGCCAGAAGCGGTCTCGCCTAGCTAAAAATACCAGCCGAAATGTAAACGGTAGAGGGACGTCAACGTTGACGTTGGTTGACAGAATGAGCGAGGAACGGTGCACTGGCGGTGTTATTCATTGAAACGCCGTTACCTCAGTACTCCTCTCGTGCCATACAGCCCCTTTGTATCCTTTCAGGTTTGTCTTACGTTTCTTGCGTTTGGCCATCTTCGGCCAATGAGTGGACGAACTGGTCTAGACCGCCACTGCCAGTAAATCGTTGCTCAACCAACAAGATAGCCTTCTACAAAACATCGTGCTGAACTCCATCGGTGTTTCTCTACGCCGCGTTCAAACCACTGAACAAAGAGACCGGTAGAAAGCGAGGGAGGGGCACGAAATCATTTCTGCTAGCCGCAGTTATGCTGCTAAAGTGAGACACCAGCGAGCTAGATCCCAAGCAAAGCGACTGGGCGAATCCGAGGCACATAAATGCGGCGAAGGGGAGTCCAGCGTCTAAATATACTCAGACCAGCTCTTTCTCCAAGACAGCTATACCAACCAAACACGTTGAAGTTAATGAGCCGGAACGAACCCCGACAAAAATGCTTGTTTCCCTTTCGTCGAACGTTGGTTACTCAGTCGGCAAGTCGGTCTGCTTGCCTGATGTAGTGGCCTCAGTTAGAACCAACTACCCGGAGCCGAGAAGGCCTCCGCCCGGGTTCCCTTTACCCTTAAAACTACATCCATCCAAGTCGACTCGCAATCCACCGGCAGCAGTACGTCTTAAATGAATCTCTTCCTTTATCAATTAGCAAAAGCGACTGATTTTCCTTTTGCGTTTACTCTTTATTAGCTAAGTGAAAAGGCACGTTTCATTAAAATTGGTCAAAATTGTTATTCGTTGAATAGTTTTTTGTGTAGGCTATTGCATTTCGACGTTCACTGTCTACTGCTACTGAGCTGGATTCGATGCTGTGAACCTAAATCAATTAGCGATCGCGTAAGCCCTTCGAAATAATATGTTGTACAAAGTTGATCTCTCTTTACGGTCAACGAGTTTTAATTTTACATTTGTCATAAACCTGTCAAGTAACTTCTGTTCCACCCTGTATTCATATATATTTGTCTATCATATAATGTATGGTTGCTCACGAAATCACTTTATAATGTAATAGCACTATAGGACAATAACAGGACCCGTTTGGGCAAGTTGGTCCAATTCAGGGATTCTATTCTTAGTGCTATTTCAAAAGTTGCGTGTTATAGTTTGAAGCTCGTTGTCTCATTATTATTGTTTTGCTTGCTGATTTCTGTATAACTTATGAAATTCAATATCCTTCAACTTATTAACAGCGAAACTATAAACTTTTCAACCTGTTATAGTATTGGTTGCGTAGCCAATATTCCGCGAGTTAGCAAATTTTGTGGCATTAGGTTGGTCTTCTAACCTATATATTCATCCGATTTTTCTACCTCATTGTGATTGATGTTTGAGCGTTTCTTATTGACTTTCTGACTCCTTTCTGGCTACGAACCTCTACTGCGATGGATGCCCATTTAGTTCTTTATAGCGTATCCGACCTATATAGTACGGCGTGCTCACTTAGTATAAGGACGCCGTTCGGGCAGTACCTAACTCGCTCAAGATCCTCTCCTTGAAAATGAGGCTTGCTTCAATATATCCTGCTAGAAACCTGTTCGTATACATTCCTTCCGTAATTCACTACAAACCGTTAAATAAACGTACATGCATATTGCTTGACCTGCAAAAAAAGATCCTAGTTGCGAAGAATGCTCTCTAAGGTCTACATGATTCGACGAAGCAAATGCCAGATTAGCTTGCAAATATCCGGGTCAACTCATGTAAAATCAAAATATGATGAAAACGACGATCCAGACACTCCCCAAGTAACCGGTATGATGTATGGTCGTAAGACCGCCTCGTCGCCAATAAAAAATTATTCCGCTTAGGTGAGATGGATTTCGACCTTTCGTACCACGTCCACATCCGCAATTTCGTGCCTGAACAATATTAGAGTTCGATTGAGATTCGCTACCATCTTATAAAAGAACAGTAACTATTTTAGCTAGAAGTAAAGTTAATTATGTAGTTAGCTCTCGTTTTAGATCTCGACATAATACATTCATCGTTAGTAGGTCATATATTCTGGCCACATCAAGCCTGGCACATTATTTGTGCGTTCAACGCTTTCGCAAATGATTTATGGTCAAATTATGTCTTGCTCGTCGTTGAATAGATAGAATCTATTGCTTGCTTGGATAACTTGCTGTGTCAGACCTAAATAATAAGGGTTCAACCATAACGCTTTAAAAGCTGGAATAATGCAGGATATGACATGATCCTGCATTCATGCCATCATCGTTAGATTTCTGCAATCGTTGAAAATAATATACGCATATAATTTATTAACATGGGTTTTTGAAGCCGACGTATTTGGTAACTACTGCACAGGGGATGCTTTGCATTTTCCAGGCGCCAGAAAAACACCATGAACAGCAGCCAAATATGACCTCCGAGATACAGTTTATTCGTTTCGTAATAATTTCCGTCTAAGTTCCATCTGGCAACGTATTCCAGGTACATTTGCTTCCGTTCGGCAGACTGCGCACGCGAACAGGAGGCAGTCAAGATGTCTTTGCTCGGTCTTCAGCTGTGTTATTGGGCAAAGATAAAAAATCATCTGTTTAAGAAGAGTAGAAAAAAAGCGATAAAGTTCGAAGCCGCACTGCTCTTGGAATCTGTCCATCTGTGCAACACACATAGATACACTTATCGCTTGGTCGTCCACAAAAGCCTTTCTTGCTTTTACTTCATTCAACTCATGGGACATTCATAGAACTCGTTCTGTCGGAAACCCTTTTTCTGATTTCAGTCAAGAACAGATTTGACTGGTACGAAGCCGCGAATACGCCTTATCCAACATTTGACACTCAATGCGCCTTCGATGTCCTTCCGCCACCAGTTGTGTTATTCAGCAATGCGGCTAGTGCACGGACAAACCTTTAAAAAAAAATTTAAAACACAGCAAGCGCGATTTGGTCGTTACATCCAGGACGGAAGACGACGGTTTTGCCGCTTGCGTTTTTTCTACCGCTTTTTTTTAGAGTTTTCTATCGCATTAAATCGAGTTCCTCCTTCTTTCCTTCTGCTCAATTTAGCTTCTTCAACGCTATCATTCTCGTACCCATCTCACTTTTACAATTCGTGTCTACATACGATCGACTGACTATACCTTTCCCACTGTACGCGCGAGCCGTTACCTTCGTGTGCCTCCTCGCTTGCTTGGTTGGGTTAGGGGCGCCGTTCGCCGGCCTACATTCCCGTCTACGGCTCTACCAGCCGAGATCGAGAGCAATCTTTACGAAACAAACAGAACAACGAGTTCGCCAACACTTGTCGCCTGTCGTTGTCGCACCGGTGACGAATGAACAAGACTCTGTGCCACCGTGTATAGTGGACTAAGGGAACTGAACGGCTCCGAAGCCGCGTTCGAAACCACGACGTGACCGAAGCTTTCAAAACACTGCAGCGAAAAGTGAATTGAGTGTGCGCACTAAATGTAAGAAAGTTTCGTTCTGCGTTTTCATTTCTCACACTAGGGTTCGTTATCGTTGCTGCCATCGTTGCTCGTCGGTGGAACCAGAACAAGTTAGGCCAAGGGAGTCAGCATTGGCTGCCACCACACATCCGAGAAGCACACGGTGGTTCCACGCTCGGCCCCTGATCGATCCCTAACCTTGGACAAAGCGTAGCTGCCTTTCTTTTCTCAAGCATTACGCTGGCACACTCGAACACCGAAACATTCGGGCAGACCGATTCACAGCCAGACGCCTAGACGTAGGCCACTCCAAAGCCCCCACGCAGCGCCTGCTTGGTTCCCCGAATTGAACTAACAATGTCATCGGTTTGGCCAGCACCCAGAAGGTGGTCGGCCTTTAGAAGTGATATTATCACACGCTGGTTGAAAAACCTTTTAGGACACTTTGTTGAGACGGAGAAAGGACAACAGCAAAGATTGCTGATTAGTAAATCTGCCGTGATGTTACACTGCTTCGCTGTGTTGGGTATTGACTAGTACCTGCTATGTCTGCTCTGTACACTTGGACACTGATACGATCGTACTTAAGTAATGCTCATTTTGAGTTGTTGGCCAAAATTATGTCTCGTTTATTTGGCGGTAATATACCTATGTGGGCTCCGTATGTTATTGGCTACTTAAGTTAATCACTTACTGCAAAGTAAAACACCTCATATACAGGGATCATTTGCTATTAGGTATGCGTCCCTTTGGATAAACGATGGTGATTAGTGACGCATCACACATTGTGATACTCAATAGGTAATTGACGGGTCGGTCTATTTTCACTCCATTAACTAGTTAAACAATTAAGACAACAAGGACGTCGAACCTCATCTACTTTTGATGGCAGAGGATAATTTTATTATTTGTCAATGACAGAAAACCTGCCTATTGCATATACGGAGCGTTGATTTGTTTTCACAGAATTGTGGCGCCGAGCGTGGCGCGGCCAACGGAACGAGCCCCTTCGTAATAATTACAGGAACGCGAGGGGCATACTTTAAATTTTCAAATAACAGTTACATCGGCGTCTCAACGATTTGAGACGTAGTTAGAATTGACGCCATTACGTATTACACAATTGATTATTGGTCGATTACTATAGGTCATAATCAATAAGGGAGAAGAATAGCGAACACGTCAGATAGTATCTTCATTTCCAAGACCTCCTCAAATATCAGGCTGCAAAATACTCACATTCTCGGGTCAGGTTGAATGGGTCATCCGTTAGCAAGGTGCTAGCTGTTGTATTCACACGGAATCGCCCTTCGGGGGCTTTATTGTGCACTTCACGAATTACGTACTCGTAAACGCTCTCTAGTTCTCGCATGTCCTCAGTGAATATAGTACCTGCAAAGTGAATCCATCGATGTTTTAGCGATTTGGTCTTTCCCGTTCGTTGACAGATGCGGCGTGGAATCACTGGTTGTGTTGTCATTATTTGCAAAACATCTAGACAAAATAATTTGATGTTGCGCATGTCAACGGAAAAACAAACTCCATAGCAGTTGATGGAATTGAGGTGAGCGGCATCGTTTGCAAGAAGTTGTTAAATACAATAAACTTCGTTGAAGTACTGGAAGAACAGAAATATGAACGTTTTTATTCAACCCAAAGTGACCGTGAAGGAAGAAATACGCAAGTCCCGATATTGGATTAAATATGGAATTTTATCCGGGAAACATCATGCGCGTACGAGCTGGATGCGTTTGCCTAGACGTCAGGAATAGATTTAATACATAAGGAGTTTCGGAAAATTCGTTAGATACTTTATCGAAATCAATGTCTTATTAGAGGTACGGTAACCTATGTCAGGGGCAGGGATGAACAATCATATAACGTCAAAACTATTATATCAATTCGATGGGCGCCTACAATCTGAAATAGGTGGCAGCTATACGTATGTCATTTCTACATTGTAGTCAATCTACAAAGTATGGGTGTTGACTATTTCGTTCTTCTCTACCACACGTCTGCATAGAGAGTTCGTCCGTACGGTCGATCAAACTCCCACGGTAATCGAAGCGATTTCAAGCGAACACTTCGTACTGCAGTTTGCTAAGCAAACACGCTCCGTAGGCGTACTGCTTCATCTATCCCGAGCCTTTATCGATCTGTGATGTTTGTCTACTCTTCTTCACGGCTGCCACATTATGAATGGACGCCAGATCAAAACGTGACCTGGCAATCTCTACCTACTTCTTTCTATGAGCAGTTCCGCTAGCGCGTTCAATCATGTTATGGTCAAAACTGCCCATGAAAGCAACGAATAATAGTTTTATTAGACCTTAAAATTGCGATATTTGTCAACCTACATTGTTGCTTTGTTGTAAGCTTTCGTAACTCGCCATTGACGACAAAGACATAGCCAAGTCGGCGATTACTAAAGCAAATACATGTAATAATCATTATAAAATTGCTGATGAAGCTAACATGCGCCAGACAGACTCATCATGCACACCGAGTTTCAGTTATGTCGACAAGCAAAAGGTCTAAGATATCATTTTGTCTATTGTTAACTACCAAAAACCTGGGCAGACTTATTAACTACCTACAATGATTCTTACCGAGGTTGAGGAACTGGTGCACCCAGGCAGGCTGATGTTTCGCTGCTCGTCCTCCATAGCGATGACTCATGTCGCCCGCTAAAACATTTTAGCTCTCCTGTTAGTACTATGCATGGCATTCATATAAGAAATAATTGACTGGGTAAATATTGTGCAATTTTGTTTCGAAGAGTAATTTCTTACTCGGTAGTCATTCTGACGGTAGCCTGGAAAGCAGGAACCTGTTAGGTCCAACAATGGCGTTGTTGATGAAGTTTCAGAGTACGGAAGTTGCGTTTTCTTCATGCGACGTTTTTAATATAATTTCCATCAATCTGACCTTTAATTTGTAGCAAAATAATTGTAAGCGACGCTTTGAGTTCGAAGTGGCTCAAATCAAAAAGGCCATTCAGTCACGCCAGCTTGATCCTTCGCTGACAATGTCCTGCTTAGCTTTATATGATTTTAGATCCTCTTACCAGCGGCACCCATGTTGCGTGGCATATCAGTCTTTTGCGAAACGGAATAATGACTATTTCTATGCTAAATTTTTTAAACATTTTGCTGAGAGCCATCGTTCGTGCTCGTCTGCCAGTTGTCAACGTTATACTGCGTCACTAGGGTCCGAGATTATACATAATACGTTTGGCTTTTCCCGCTGTAACTGAGACATACTACAGAGAAGCCAGAATCATTTGCGAAGTTCTCTCTGCCGCTTTCGGTATTCGCCAACCTTCGAACCGTTAGCGGTACGCATAGATTTTCGAATTGTCTGACGCAGTGATCTCAATATGTTACCCCCGTAGGGCAGGGGCTACAGTGACTGGTATAGAGCTGAGCGGCATAATTACGCAACAGTTCACTATAGCTACTCCTTTTACCCATGTTAGCGTTACCTACAACCCATAGATAGAGAGAGAAAAAGATGATATTGTCTAGGGAAAAATAATAGCGCTTGGAACTTGCAAAGAGCGATTAACTTAATTTGCGTATAACTTTGGCACCTCTCACAGCTGATTAGAAACAATGGAGATAGCGAGAGAGACTTAGCCATCATATCACACCATTGTCCTTAATTGGTTAGCCGTAAGGCACACGGACGTGGAAGTGAGGGAAACAATGTTCTTCAAAACGCGATATGTACTTAGTGAACTTTTTGCAAACTATGAAGTTTAATTAGCGGTGAGTAGAAACCGATAAATAAATATCTGGATCTTGCGACAATTCCAAAATGCATTTGACGGATGATAATAATTGTCAAAAGTCGTGTTAAAACCGAAGATAGACGCAGCTAAAGTACTTTGAATTTATAGAGTGAAAGCGGTGCATACGTTCAGTATACTCTTCTCAAGCCATTGCCATGTGATGGCTTAAGAGGGGTATACTGTGTAATCTTCAGTTTCTCGCAACCAACCTTAATCGTTTACAACGCCACGTGGCAAATGTCTTCAACAATGCTTCGATAACCTAGCGCACAATAATCTTGCAGAAGATGCTTGAATAACAGTCAAAGACTAGGGCCTCGTAAAGGAACCACTTCGAACTGACAGATCAGTCCTGGTTTTAAGTGTCGACTTAGTAACGAAAAAACCTGTTCTATGAAAACACATCGCCGTTCACGCATATTATCGACCTTGACATAATGATTTCGAGCAGTAGTTTTAGCCCCTCGGCCTGAAATTCCCTTTAAGAGTCCTAACCTGCTTTTTTTAAATAACTTACGTGCATACAATTCTAGAGAGACGAAGTTAAAGGCAAGGGTTAGCTTCTCGCTCCACATTCCTTACAGAGTTTCATTCTATCGTAGATTAATGGGGATACAGATAACATGTAAGTTAAAACAAATATCATATTAAACTATATTCAACCAACTAAAACACGAGTCTTTAGACCGGTATTATGTTTTGACTACGAGTACGATAACAGAGTAAACGCACCTCTCCGTATTTTCGAAATACAGACAGTTTTTTTGATGTTTACCCTAGAAAAACATGGTCTATACATTAGCTTAATTGTCTGCTTGAACGTTATAGAAGTGATGCTCTTTAAATACGAAGATGAACTGCCCACACTAAAATAAGACTTTTAATAAATATAATCGTACGTTCTATTGAAAACGCTAAAAAAACGTTTAACGTGAATTAGCTGCGCATATCCTACGGCGACCGTCGAAATTTCCGCCAGATACCAAGAGTTCAACACCTACAACGTTCGAGATAGCTTTGTTATTTCTATGTTGTATTTTTTGACAAATAGGGAGATTCGTTTCGCTCGCCTACAACACTTTACAAAATACTTTCTCGTTGTTTAAAGCTCATTAACATGTTTGCCCTCATTTTGCCTATCCAAAGTTTCAGACTAAACTAATCCACAATGACAGTTTTAAACATTGTACTCGTTTCAATCGTATCCTACCGAGTTTTGTACAACTTGTCATAGTTCTGCCGCAGACCGTCACTAAGCGAAAGCATGGAACACACCCTTCATTGATCAATTGAATTATATGATAATTCTTATTTGAGTTGAGACTATATAGATATAAGCGCTCTTTTTCTGATCTGCGATACTTTCGTACAAGCTGCTGCTTTTAATGAAATGTCACACAACAGTAGCTGTTCCTACAATGGTTCGGTGTCAGCTTCATCAGCTTCAGTGAAACCTTTCGTGCAGTTTGTCCCCCCTCTTAACTCGGCGACGAGCCCCCGCCTTCTACACGTATTTGAACTTTCCCAAGCCATCCACTATCCAACGACCATCGGCAACATCCGTGCACTCTCTTCCTCTACATATGTGTATGTATTACCAGGACAAAGCCATTGTTCTCAGATTCATGCATTTCTGCTTCCTAGTGCTATGGCGAACGCCGACGTGCACGCATCTGGCCTGTCAGCATGGCTAGCGCGTGGTGCCACGATCTCAGTCCAACTGTAGAAGCTCCAAAGTCCCGCAAAAGCTGACCGCCGATGCCGAGCTAGCGAAAGGCTCACAGCCTTTGCGTATCACGCAAAAACTCCATGTTTACTAATCTCGTCGGCTGATCTTCTCTTAACGCCCGGTGTAGCGTCTGGCTGCAAGAACGCCATTTAGACTTCTGAAAGGACGACTAATAGCGACCTCTGCGAGGATGTAAACCGATAACTTCGGTAGGAAGGCCTCAGGAAGAGGAGCAGGGATACCGGAAAAACGGCCGTCTGTGCAAGTTAGAAGCCTTGACGATGGTTTATGCCATTGGTAGTAGTGGTGGTGGCGGTAACGACGGGGAAAATGCTCTGGGTAAGGCCAGTTGGCAGCTGCCGGTAGGGACCCCGAAGGCAGCCAAAGATACGTGGCTGAATTAGTTTGTCGGACAAGGTTATGGTATTAACACGTGGACTAACACTAGCGGGCTTCGCCACGGGGCAATAGGGGTCTCTAACGGTACTGTGTTGTGTTTTCCTTCTTTCTATGTTCTACATCTCTTTCTACGGTTTCTACCTAGTTACCCTTCCTCGTTTCTCGCTCCTTCTTTTGAACGTGAGGCGCGTTCGCGTAGCGTGAAGCTTGTTTTCATCGCAGTAACCACGGCCAGCAGCAAAGGCCGAATCGAGCCCGAGGGCGAGCAAGCCAGCCGAAGAGCTCTCGCGAACAAATACTAAAGCTGTGTTACGTGTCGCAACTTCCCTATATCTTTGCGTCGTCATGTCACTTTTAGCTACCTTAAAATGGCGGCAGGAACACTCACATACGAGGTACGTACAGACCCACCAAGTGCAGATATACACACTTACACACGTACATACTTTCGCATACTCGTGCACACGGACGACGGGACAAAATGCCGCACCAGCAGTTTGTCTCGTACAGCGCAAATGAATGCTGACCTTGCATGTCACTTCGCCTCGCCTCATTTCGCCAGCCCGTCGTTGCCATCGTCCTTGCAGTTTTCCCAGCAACTATACAGCCGCCCTTCGCGGTCAACAGCGGCGGCTACGAAAGGAAGCCGATGCAGGACCAGTAAAATCACCTGAGGGCAGTTTGCCTGATCCCGCCATCGGTTCCGTTGCCGGTGTCAGTCCACATGTATACGTACGCAGGCAAGTGCGCGTACATTCTGAGTGCACGTTCGCACGCACGAATAAGAAAGTTAGTCTTCCGTTCTCCCAACTCCTGTAGACAGAGCCTCGAGCTGTGAGACTGTTAAGCTGTAAGGTCTACCTGCTGCCTCGGTATACGCCACCACCATTGCTAGCTCTAGTGTATCTGTAACGTACAGTGGTGACTAGAAAGTAGTTTGAGGTGGTTACACGGAGAACATAGGCGAATCGGTCGAAGCAGTTGCAACTGTGCCGAGAGCATCTTGTGCATCTACTGCCGTAAGTAGTTTCGGGCTCGTGACATGTCTTTCCTTTCTGAGAGAGGACAAGGTTGTCCAAGGGCAGTATCCTGCGAAAGCCGGCTAAGGTTGCTCGTTTGTCTTACGATTTCTACTTTCATTTCTTGACTGACACTTTTAACGATGCTGAGTCTGTGTCAATTCCGAGCACAAAGCAGATTCTGTTTTGTCGTGTGTCTGACAATGTGTTCAACTTCTGATACAACTCCGCTCATTTTTCATTTTAACTAAGTAATACTACAGTTGTAGGATTTCAAGCATGCTAGGCTTCAAAAAAAGCATTATGAACTTCCTTTGCTCGCCATGCTTATTTAGCTTCAAAAGCTTCATTAAGGGAATGTGATCGTCTGAATACGTTGATTGAGTTTGTAACGAACGGCGCTGGATGCAGGTTCTTAACTTTGTAAGAAAGCCTCACACATATTTTGTTATACTTTTTAACGAAGTACCGAATATTCATTGGTAAAGATTTCTATTTTTCGCGTATCATCTGTTGCGCTATATATGTATGGCTCAAAAGTGCGCGACCGGAAGTATTCTATCCTGTAAATACTAAAAATGTCGCCTACACCAAGTATTTTTGCACTTCCACGTACCTCAGCAATTGGCCAGAGAAAAATGCAATGAACATCATTCAGGGAACTCGACTTTTTCAACAAAAGCCACACCATTAGGAGCAGGTTGGTGACTCCTCTTTCTGACTTTTCAGCTACAGGCGAAGTAATTG